GAAACAGAATCTTTAGCCTTACGAAAATGCCCTTGGCCTGGTGAGTATATATCCGCAACCTGAGCTTACACGCAAAGCAGGGAAGCTTCGCCTTCGGACAGTCAATAATAACAGAGGTTTCGTGTGCCCATTGCCGCATTTATTGCGTGACGCTCACTTTAATTATTAAATAAAGACATTTTTTGTCACTTCCGCTATCCAATCCAATATCAAAAAATTAAAATATTTTTTTTAACCTTTTATTTTATTGTATTTTAACAATTTTTTTCATAATAGCTGAATGAAGCCAGATGAATTAGATAAGGTAGTAAGTCATTGGGTATAGAAGAAGTTGACATGGGTGAATAGTACGGAAGAAGTGTTTGTATTATCAGATTCAAGCTTCGTTTTCGCTGACTATGTGAAATTCTAATCATTAGGCCAACCTCCGTGTAACAAAAAGCTCAAACTGAAACATATCAGCCAATGAAACAGAGAGAGAAAGAGTATTCATCGCCAAAACCGGATACAGGAAAACCATTCAAACATGCGTGTTTCTTTTTCCTTTAAATCTATATTCTTTAGTTAATAAATGTTATTACTGATTAAAGAATATATTTAATTTTGACTATTTTTTTCTTCAATAAATACATTTGACCGGTTTTAAGGAGAATAATTAATCGAACTAATTTAAAAATAAAGAGAAATAAAATTATTTTTTTTAATGTAATTTTAACCTTTTTTTTTAAGACGTTAGAGAAAATTCAAAACATTTAAAGTATAATATTAAAATATTTTTATTTTCAAAATTCTAAGAGTCTAATTTTAGTATAAAAAAAGTGAAATTAACTTTTTGAAAATTTTATCTTCTTTTTGTAAACTAAACAAGAAATTAGTTAACCCAAGCGTGTGGTTCAGCGGTAGGGGTTGATCCACGCTTAAGCAAGGTCAGGGGTTCGAATCCTGCCTTGTGTATGCAGCCGCGTTAAATCTTGGGGCCAGCTATCCTACCATTTGAGGTGCCTCCAACGTAGCGAGGAGATTAGTCATTGCTGCCGGCGGTGGATACTCCAGGAACGAACAAAAAAAAAACAAGAAATTAGTTAAATCTTTTTTTTTATTATCAAAATCTCTCTTCTTTCATTTTATTCAATTAATTAATCAAAATAAAATATTTAAGATATTATATTTAAAATGTTTTTAATTTTTTTTCCTGTTTCTACGAAGTTTTCTTAATATTGAAGTAATTTTAAAATTAGATTGGTAGCAAATTTACTTAGCTCTATTCATTTTCTTTTTCTCCCTATAAAATAATTGTTCCGGCCAAGGGATGGACTAGGGTTTCTGCCTAGGTCTAGCCTCAAAGCCAGAGCATTCAAAAGTGTAATCTCCTTTCTCAACTCTAGGGTTTTGAGTTTTATGGTACGTCGTTCATGGGCCTCTTGGGCCCCGAGAATAAAGGGATTTCCCTAACCGTTCTTATCTTGATGGCGCGAGGTTAAAGGGGATAAGTCTAGTCGGGTTCTTACCGACTGGGTCCGCGCAGGGGACCCAGTCGGGTTAATGCCGAGTAGTCTCCTTAGTCCTTTTAGGCGAGAGGAATCGAGTCCCCCAGGTCGAGTCGAGTCATGACCGACTAGGTCTATGCTGAGCCCTCGGTCGGGTTGGTGCCGAGTAGGCATGGTCGCCCCACTGCCGAATAGAGGTGCAGGTCAGATTTCGACCTGGACGGCACACTTGCCCTCCAGCCCTGAGCCGAGAAGGCGAAAGGGCTTGTGGCCTGATACGATAGTCGGGAAATACCCGAGAAGAAAACCTAATCGGATTTTAACCTGGACAATACACTTGCCTTCCAGCCTTGAGCCTGTAAGGCGAGAAGGCTTGTAACCGGGCGGCCTGGTCAGGTATTGTCCGAGCAGAAGGTCAAGTCGGATTTCGGCCTGGACGGTACAATAATCAAACAAAAAATTATAAAAATCTTTTTTCTCACCTCTAACCAGATATTTTGTGATAAAATATAAAAATATTTAATTAATATTTTAATGCTAGTCAAATGGATTTATTGCAAAAAAAAAAAATACTAGTCAAATATATTCAATATAAAGTATTAAATGATCTTTGATAACATTTATTATTTTTAACCCTTTTCTTCTCATTTACTTTAAATCAAACAATTTTTTATTTTAATTTTGTAATCTTTGAGAATTAAAATGACAATAATAAAATTTATAATTTATGGATATTGTCCAACTTCGAACTAATATTGGTTGACATAAGGATGACAAATAAATATATATCTATCTCGACTTTGATGGAGAATATTTGGTTTGACCAAACATGAATATAAGTACATATAACACCCGATTTATTGATTCGGGTACGAGGATAAGGATGAATATATACATACACATATTGGTACCTATACTCACTTTAAATTTTTATAAACTTAATTTATTTATATTATAACATTTGATATTTATGTAATGTTTATTCTATTTTAATTTTTTTCAATTGAAACTAAATTAATGTAATTATGTAATTACTACTCTATGTTATTTATTTTTGCTTTTTTTTTACAAAATAAATATTCAATTAATTTTTGGGAAAGTATAAGTATATTTAATACCCAACAGGGATAGGAATGGAACGTAAATTCCATATTTATCAAGTATGGGGAGGTGAGCATAGGATATGAAAACAAGGATGAAAATGGGGATATTGAAACCCATGCCTATCTTGTTACCATGCTTAGTTGACACTTTAATAAGTGGCAATGACTTGTGTCTTTTAATTAAGTTGTCCATGATTTAAGTTTTGACATTGAGAATGAAATAGATTATGTCAAGGATATAATACTCAACCTGTGTGCCTTTGTTAATGAATATTAGTCACTACTCTTGATGGTGAAAACTTTATACCAATATTATAATTAAAAGATTATTATTATTAGTGAAATCGAGACACTTTGTATCTTTATATTTTATTTAATAGAAGTATTTAAAAATTATTAATGTTTGTTAGATTAACTAGTATTGTGTTTAATACTCAAATTATGAGGTTTTGTGTCTATAAGAGTAATTAATTTTTTATATTACTTTTTATTATTTAAAATTTTAAGGGTAAAATCATATAAAAAATGTGTACAGCAAATCATACTATTGCTTTTATATATATCGGGACTAGTGAGGTAAGGACACTTGTGCCCTTATATTTCATTAAATAAAAATATTTATAATTTATCAACACTTATTAGATTAACTGGTGTTACATTTAGTTTTCAAATTTTAAAATTAAGTTTAGAGTATTGTGTTTATAAAGATAATTATTTTATATATTAATTTTATTATTTAATTTTTAAGACAAAATTATCTAAAAATACGTAGAATAAACCACACTATTACTATTACTTTTATATATGTTTATTTATTTATATATTATATTTATACCTATTATAAAGGGGATACCGGAGGTATTTAATTGTTTTTGATTCACTTTTTCGAGAATCCCCTTAAATGTAAAAAAAAAAAACCTATATCCTCCCTAAATAACTAAACACAACTCTCTAATATTTTATCTGTCTATAATTATTAAAGGTTATCGATTCATCTAGTAAGTATGCAATAAAAATTATATAATAAATTATCATTAATTATTATTTTTATATATATTAAAAGGATCGAGACATTTTGTATCTGTATATTTTATTTTAAAAAAATATTTATAGATTATCAATGTTTATTCAATCAATTGGTGTTACGCTTAATTATCAAATTTTAAAATCTCAATTTCAGAGTTTTATATTTATAAAGATAATTATTTATAATATTAATTTTATTATTTAAAAATAAAAAATAAAGTAATCTAAAAGTATGTATATATGTTATTTATTTACATATTACATATTACATATTACATATTATATTATAGAGGTTATATAATAGATTATGATTGAGTAGTACTATTAGCACATTTGTGCAAATATATTGGTTTGTCCGTAACGAATTGAGTTTTTTAATTTACCAAAATAAATAAGAAAGTTCCAAATGGAATAGGCAATTTGCATGGACACAGGGAAGTTCTCGTGAGTGGTTGCTATTGTTGGGCCTGCTTTGATCTAGCGTGGGACACCTTGAGAACCCTGTTGTAACCGCCAGCTATATCCGTTCTGACCACCACCCCCACTCACCCACACCGCACCCTTATCCGCATGCCGCGTGTACCTCCTCCTCACAACAATGCGCCACGTGTCCCTCTCACTTGTCCCTTCCAATCACGCATCGCGGTAGTTCACTCACATTACCAAAGTCATTTCCTATGTGACCACTCACGCCCCGAACCACGCAAATCCCCAAAACACCCTCCCTCACCCGCCAACACAACTAAACCCAACCAGGACAAACTCGTCATTTCAACTCCAAAGGCTAACTAACTGGAAGGTAGGTGAGAATTATCGTGTACAAGTCGGCAGTTGAACAGAACAAGTACACATGCCCCTCAAGGTTTTTATTCTATACACTTCAGGTACTTTGGACGGTTACCAGTAAACGACCAAGAAAATCAACGGTTCGATGTCAAACTAGTGTACATAATTGACTCCAGTCTTATCGCACGTGATCATTCCTCCTTCTTGCCTCTTTCTTTAGCTCTGACTGCTGCAGGAGCCGGTCTGCATCGGTAACACCGTCAACTTAATTTACCAAATTACCCTCACCTGCTCTTCAATACCTTACCCGCCAATAAATAAATCCTACTTAACAGTAACGGTGATTCCGTCAATACACGGAACGGAGAAACTTTCAATCGCGTTTACACAGAAACGCGTTTTGGAATTTGGACGGCACGTTTGTTTTCGTTGAACCACCTAATAACAACCACCACCACTTCTTAAAGTTTCTTTAATTTATTTATTTGTAATCAAAATGAATAATTAAAGTATTTTTTTTTTATTCGGGTTTTCGGAACTAATAAAGTTATAATTATTTTAGAGTATAAAACTATAAATTATCCCTTCCTTACCCTTTTTCGGTTTTCTAAGCATTCGCTTCCTCTCTTTCCTCATCCACTATTTCTCTCCGTTTTCTGGCCCCTGCCGGAAAACCCCTTCCGTCCGCCGGAAAACCGCTTTCGTTTCGGCGACTTTTTTCCGCGTCTCCAGAGGAAGCTTATATCGGTCTTCTTATTGGTACGTTTGCATTCTCTCGCAAATTGCTGTTGCAGATTCTACGAGGCCTTGGATCTCTCCGAGACGCGGTTTCTGCGTTGTATTCGGCGTTCTTCGAGAATGTGGCGAGCCTGGTTGTCCTCTGAGGCTCTCTCTTAATCCGCAGCCTTCGGGATCGTGTTTTAGGGTTTGGATTTGGATTCTGTGTTTGGTAATTGTTTTCTGGCGATTCCTTGTTCTAGTTAACGAAGACGGAGGCCTACAGGGAGCGACTTCGTAATGAAATGGTAGGTCAATCGTGTTTTGTTCAGAGAATTTATTTTTTTTAGGCTTTTGTTTGGTTTTTGATGCGTTAATGATTGAAAATCTCTCGAAAATGTATATTCGTCTGTTAATCCTTCAGATCTCGGACATTGTTATAATTTTCAACGATTTTGATTCGATTTCTCTCGTTTTGTTTGCCTGAATGATGTTTTTTTTAAATCACGCCTCGTAATATGGTTTTTTGACTTTTTTCTCTCCTATTTGCCATTTCGTGTTTAGGCTTCAGAGAGTGGTATGCAATTGATGCTCTTAAGGGATGCGTAAAGGTGCATTTTGTGAGAGAGGCTGTTTTTTTTTTTTTTTTTTTCTCTTATGAGTAAACCATAGTTCTCTGAAAATTATTAAAAGAATAGGGGGGGAAAGGGAACATGTTTCTTCTCCTTTTCTTTTTCCTCCTGTTTCTGGAATAGGATTTTAGAAGATTTAGTTCAACCAAGGTTTAAAATAATTTCTAGGCCTGTCTTTTGTTTCCTTTTGTGTGTTGAAATTTATGTGATTAAAACTACCTTTTGTTTGATTGGTTTACATGCCAAGGTGGAAATAATGATGTTGAGAGGAGTAAACTATTCATATTTCAGCGCATGCATTTGTTGAATAATTCTGTAAGATCGTTTTTGTTGACTCTTTCGCTTTGTGCGTTGTTCTAAATTCGGATAAGTTTTTTTTGCCCTTTTTTTGCCCTTCTTAGTGGTTACTTTTAAGAATGAGGCGGTTTACGTTTGACTCAGAATGACTTCGTTCGTAAAATGTTCTCCACTGATTGACCCATTCAAATTTGTTTTGGCCCCTGTATTGCTCTTGGTTTGCTTGAGTTAGAACATTATTCTCTTCACTCCTTTGAACTACATTCTTTCCAGCTGCAGTGAGCTAACGCATCAGAAATGATGCTCTACGTTGATACCCCTTTGGTTCACTTGAATAATGACCAGGCAATGCTTTCAATGAACTTTTGCGCCTTAGCTCAAAATTCCATTTATGCGAACATAAATATACCATACGTGTCTGTTAATTGTAGATTGTTATCCATCTATTGAGTTTCACATTATTGCCTCTTAATTTTGTTTTCTCGAGTGTGTTTTACTTTATCCTTATATTTAAGTTAAATACATGCTAATCTGAGTTTGTAATGTTTGAAAACTCTACAGGTGGAAAGAAGAGTGACTTTGTCTAAAGAAGTTAGAAATGGGTTAGAATTTCTGAGGCGTAAAAGGCTTCAGCGTGCAAAATCTGTCACTTCCACCCAGACAAATATTGCTAACATGATGAACAGAAGTGGAGGAGATGCTTTAAGAGCTTCAACATCATGTGGCATGAGATTGCATGGTAATGCTGATGTCTTTTCCAAGCGCAAGGTGGATAAGTTTGATACAAATGACCTGGAATGGACTGATAAAATTCAAGATTGTCCTGTGTATTCTCCAACCAAGGAGGAATTTGAGGATCCTTTGATTTATTTGCAGAAGATAGCTCCAGAAGCTTCTAAATATGGTATGGAGTTTTGGTCTGTTGAATATTTTTTCTTTTACTTAGTATTTTCTTTAGGGTTTTGCGCTGATATTATCACATTAGTAAACCATGGCATTGACACACTCACAAGGTGACCAGGCTATCCTGTGCTTTGCCACTTCTTAAATCCAGCTTTTGAGTGTGTTGATCTGTAAAAGATAAAATCAAAATGATGAGGATAGAGTATCCTGCAAACTTCCATACCCATATGTTAAAAAATCTATAGCCTTAAATTTTGACCTATAGATAGATGGTCTGTGTATTACTTTAATAAAATTTAATCAACAAAGTTTTCCTATTTAGGAATTTCCTGATAAAATTGTGCTCTATGTAATTTGGTCTGTATACAAATTGTAGCTAGCATTTACTTGGTTGTTATATAAGATTAACTAAAAAATGGACATTCATTTTGTAGCTTAAAAACTTGAAAGAAAATTCTAAGCATTAGAAAAATCGTTTAATTAATGTTCTCATACCATGTCCAATTGTCAATTAACTTCTTGGTTATTATATTTGTATTTTCATGAAAGCTTTGGTGAATTAATGAAAGGATTATCATATTGAATATTTTGAATTTGAATGTAAAATTTGTAGATTCAACGTAATAAAAGTAGCCTCCTTTCATGTTATATATTTTTCATTATTTCTTTCTATTGTGGTGAAGGGATAGATGAAACCAGTAAATGATATGTTGTGATCTAACTGTTTTCCATTTGAATCTGTGATAAATTACAGGTATTTGCAAGATTATATCTCCTTTGAGTGCTTCAGTACCTGCTGGTGTTGTTTTAATGAAGGAGAAAGCAGGATTCAAGTTTACAACTAGAGTGCAGCCGCTTCGCCTTGCTGAATGGGATACTGAAGACAAAGTCACATTCTTTATGAGCGGAAGGTCAGTTCCCTGCTATTTATGTTAATATTTGTAATATATAATATGTAATTTTAATTATATTATTACCTTGTCTGATTAATATTTTAATTATAATCAGAACTTATACATTTCGCGATTTTGAGAAAATGGCAAACAAGGTATTTGCACAAAGATATTGCAGTGCTGGAAGTCTTCCTGCCACATACTTGGAAAAAGAGTTTTGGCATGAAATTAGCTGTGGGAAGATGGAATCTGTTGAATATGCGTGTGATGTTGATGGAAGTGCCTTTTCATCTTCTCCCACTGACCAGCTTGGGACCAGCAAATGGAATTTGAAGGTGTTAATTTTATTAGTGTCAATCTTTTAGTTTTGTCCATTACTTTGCATTTCCTTTTCTTTATTTATAGAAGAGGTGTGACAGAGATATGCTTTTTGCTTTTTCTTTAGTGTTATAGTTAACTTATTCATCAGTTCCTTCTCTATGATCATAGAAACTTTCAAGGTTGTCCAAATCAATTTTACGGCTCTTGGAAACATCAATTCCGGTATAACAATTTCTTATGTTGGTCAAAGTCATATTTTGTACTATACCATGTACATGACTTAATAGAGTTTTATTTCAGGGAGTTACGGAACCCATGCTATACATTGGAATGCTGTTTAGTATGTTCGCTTGGCATGTGGAAGATCATTATTTGTACAGGTAATGTTACTTATTTTTGGAATAAAATTTGAATAACATTATTGCAAGTGAAGACTTCCCCCTTTAGATGTTTATTTATTGATATTAGTATTAATATATATTACATTGTTATGACAGCATTAACTATCACCATTGTGGGGCATCAAAAACATGGTACGGTATTCCAGGTCATGCAGCTTTGGATTTTGAAAGGGTGGTGAGAGAACATGTGTACACTAATGATATTTTGTCAAGTGATGGGGAAGATGGAGCCTTTGATGTTCTCCTGGGGAAAACAACACTATTTCCACCAAATATTTTATTGGAGCATGAAGTTCCTGTCTACAAGGCTGTTCAAAAGCCAGGGGAGTTTGTAATAACCTTCCCTAGGGCATATCATGCTGGCTTCAGTCATGGTTAGATTTGCTCATTTCAATAAATCAGTTCCAGGATTATATCTCACTTCCTGCTCCCATCGTTACTGCATGTGAAATAAAAAAAACTAATCTTCCATATCTTGGTTAAAATTCTAGGTTTCAACTGTGGAGAAGCAGTGAATTTTGCCATTGGTGACTGGTTTCCTTTAGGAGCTATTGCTAGCAGAAGATATGCTCTTCTTAACAGGCTTCCTTTACTGCCCCATGAAGAACTTCTATGCAAAGAAGCAATGCTTCTTCATACATGCTTGGAACTTGAAGATTCAGACCTTCCCTCTTCAGACTTGTTTTCGCAAAATAGCATTAAGGTTTCATTTGCTAACTTGATGCGTTTCCAGCATTGTGCTCGGTGGTTCTTGATGAAATCAAGGTCATGTATAGGCGTCTCTGCTCATAACCATGGCACCATTCTCTGTAGCCTATGCAAACGTGATTGTTACATAGCTTACGTTGACTGCAACTGTCACATGCATCCTGTATGCCTACGTCATGGTAAGCTTTGCTTATTGCTATTTATCACATTGTTGTGAGCTTGATTATTTTTGGTTGTCAGATGTTTGTTTGATCCCTTGCCTTGCTTAATATTATTTACCATGCCTAGTAATAACATCAATGGCCAATTGCTGCTTCAATATCTATAATATGGCATTATAATGGGAAAAATATTATCTTGATTCATGGTAAGCTTTGCTTATCGCTATTCATTAACATGTTATGAGCTTGATTTTGCTTAGATGCCAAGTGTTTGTTTGATCCCTTGCTTTACTTAATATTATTTACCAAGTTACCATGTATAGTAATCACATCAATGGCCAATTGCTTCAATATCTATATGGGAAAAATATTATTTTGATTCTTGACTATTCAATAAATATATGGATACAATGGATTCTTTACTTGATTGTTTTTTATGTATGTTTGATTTTGACTATATTATATTCTATTTTTTAAAGCCTTTAAATTTTTAAAATTCAGATGTTGATTCTCTTGACTTCATCTGTGGGGGCAAGCATACACTTTATTTGAGGGAGGATATTATGGATATGGAAACTGCAGCCAAGATGTTTGAGCAGGAAGATGAAATATTGGATGAGATAAGTGACCAAAACATGTATGCATATCCTTTGTCAAATATGTTTCAGAGAGCCAAGGCACATGGATACACACCTTATTGTGAGCTAAAACTTGATTCTGTAATTGAATTTTATACAACTCCAGAGCACTCAACAAATAATCAAGAGTGCAGTACGCAAAGTCAATCTGGCTTGGGACATTGCTCTGAAAATCATAAACCAGTGGTGTCTGAGGTTTCCTTTTCTTCTGCCACATCCACTCTTTGCTCTCTTTCAGAATCTCTTGAGAGCTTTTCTGCTCCCAAAAATGTAAGTCATTTGAATATATATATATATATATATATATATATATTATATAATTTTTTTTTAAAATTATTTCATTGCATATTATTGATTGTGATTTGAGCAGCTATTATTGATTCTGCAACTAAATCTGTCTATTATTCATTTGGCTGGCAGGCTGAGGGGCACACTAACATCAATTTAGGTATCATTGATTTTGAAATGTGTGGTGAAAGAATATCCAACAATGCATGTGAATCTTCATTATCCCCTGCTGTGTTTCATGAAAGCTCAGTTAAACCGCAGGGTGAGTTTCAGAGATTTGATACAAAACCCGTTGTGGACGAGAGTGATGATTCTGATTCAGAGATATTTAGGGTAAAACGCCCTTCTTCTCTGAAAGCAGAGAGGAGAAATATGAATGATGCTAACATGTCTTCAAAGCATACTGAGCAGCAGGTATTGTCAAATATTTACTTCATATAATCAGTTCATCATTCACTTCACTTGTATATAATGGCTATTGTATCTCTGAGCGTTTCAACTTACGTTCCCAATATTTCCTTTTTTCCTAAATTGATCATAAAATTAAGCTCTATCAATGCATGGACCGTGATGATACTGTAATGTATATAAGCAGGGATTTAAACGATTGAAGAAAATCCTTCCTGAAGGAAAGAGCGGGCAAGGGCAACCAATGGATTTGAGCAGAAGCAATGAATCAAGTTACAAATACAGTCATAAGGGTCATGTTGAAATATCCTCGAGGGACAAATTTGCAAGGGGTAATGGCAATCCCATTTCTGTAAGATATAAGAAGTTAAGCAACGAGGAGCAACGGAGAGATAGGTTGCAGCAGAGTTCTAGGGAAGCGGCTTCCAGTGAGATTGGGGCAAAGCGCCTTAAGGTCCGAGGCCCTTCATTTTTAGGTTTAGAGAGCAGATCGAATTGATTTGATGTTTCAAGTTGGCTGGCTCGAAATGATTGTGAAACGCCATCGAGAGTCTGACTTTGCTAACTTCATTTAGCTAATGGGCTTTCTAACAATACAGTAATTCCAAATGATTGATTGGGGGAGGAAGCAGCGGCAAGATATTAACGTATTATTAGGATATGAATATGAATTTACATTCTTTGTGCAGGCCTTACATTTGGGCACTCTGCACGGGTGGTGGTGATCCCTTGGGTTCTCGGGCCGAGGTGTTTTTCCAACTTTGGTTGGTGAACCTGACCTGCAAAGTTAGGACTTAGAAATCGGTTTCCATGTACATTTCTTTTCTTTTCACCAGTCGTTTATAGGTCTTTCTCAGGAACGTGGGTCTTTCCATTGTTTTCTCATTTAATTCTATCAGCTGCTGCCCCTTTTCATGTTAATCCATTCTTTTTGTAGCAATAGGTCCTTTGTACCTAGAACTACTTGAATAAAGTTCAAGGAAATTTCTCATTTTCTCTCGATTTCTTCCTTCACCCATTATTTGTTGTTCTCCTCAAATTTGTTGCCAAGGACAGTTGGTCGTTTGTAAGATCAAATTTGGTGATAAGTTGATACTCCATTCTTTTCACCCTTTTTTTTAATTCTTCAAGTTACAAAATTTATATTAACATAGATAATTTCCACACGTTAAATTATGACGTATGAATCCAGGGACAAATTTACCCTAGAGGGGTTTTGAGTAGTTGCCTCCACAAGAATTTTAATTTTTCTCTATATAATATATACACATAACTACAAATTGTTTCCATAATTTGAAAAAAATCTATAATACGAATATTGTCCCCACAAATTTATATATGCATATGCGAGTATTGTCCCACAGCTTCATTTGTAGATTTTGTCATTGTATGAAACCCAAGTCCAAGTTCCATTACTATTCTCCTCGACGGTGCTTAGTTGCACTAGTATTAAAATCTCTTGATAGATTATGTTTTAATTTTGATGCCCTTTTAACGATCATCGTGTGGTATACTAGTATTCAACATTTAATGTTTGTCTCGAAATTAGTTGCAACACTTATTGCTATATATGTATATTGATATGATTTATGTTAGTTATTGATTACAAACATTTGCATATGTATCCGCCGTAAGAGTTGATACTCCAGGGAAAAAAGATGCATTGTAATCTAACCTAGCAGGTATAGAATCACAGACTAGATATTTACTCACGCTAGTGTTACATTATTTTTTTCTTCATAAGCACTGTATGAAGCAAAATCTATTTCTTTTACAATCATAGGTATTACGATATTGAAATATAACTAGTATATTAGGGAGAAAGAAATTATCTGCCTTAAAACTCTAGGCGTTGGATTGTTTTTTCTTTTTTAGTGAGGACTAGTTCCTTAGCCCGCGGATAAGAATTGTTTATATTCAAAGTTACTAAGAGTTTAGTTTCAATTGTACAATGATTTAATAAGTAACACTTGTAAAGGAAAATATGATAACCAGTTAGGATTCCATCTACCTACTATCATGGTGATTTAAGACACGAAGCCAAAACCATTTAATACATAGAATAAGTGGATCCATCGTGGTACAATTTGGAGTAACACGCGCGCAAGTTTGTTATAGGCTTTTTTTGCTAATCTAGATATTTGCAGCTTCAACGAAACAAAATTATGGAGTTTGCTTAGAGATCTCAACTTGGTATAGGAGACAATAAAAATAAAAAATTAAAAAAATTATTTTTTTATAAATTAAAATTAATTTATATATAAATTAAAAAATATATTTTAGAAACACTAATTACCTCGTGTTTTAACTTATTGGGAAATTTATTTTATTTTCTAAAAAAAAAATTTGAAAAATTTATCGGATCATGCCCTAACTAGGAAACGAAGTTTTGGTTGAAATGAACTGAGTGTCTTCGATAAGCCTTCTTATATCATCATTGTTATGCTATGCCATTATCAGAGAAATCAAGTTGGTACGTGTGACGTCAAGATCATCCATGTATCTCGCGAGGCCAGTGGATCAGCAGATTGCATAGGTAATGTGGGACATTATTGTCATGCCTATGTGAATTGTGTTGAATTGTTAATTACTTGGAATTATCCTGTTGGACTTTAAAGATGGAATTACCCATAATTACCAAAGTCACGGAATTGCATTGTTTGAATTTTGGTTTTGTTCGATATCTAGAGAACAAATGCTTTTGGAATTTTGGTTAATGAACTTTACTTGCTTTTTATGCCTCCAATCCGGCATTGAAGCAAAGTTTTGGACTTCTTTTCACCAAATATCTTACAACTTAAATTTTAAAAAATTTTAAATTATAAAATTGTCAAATAACTTTAGTCATATAGAAGTAGCTGAAACTTTATTACTAATCGACAAAAGTAATTCAAATTCTGAATTTAAATTAAATATGAAATAAATTATGTTAAAAAAAAAAATCATTTCCACAATAATTAATTACTGTTGATGTTACATATTTATAATGATTACCCAAAATTTATGACTAAATTCAAGACCCAAAAGAAAACAATAGAAGGGTATTCTAGATGACCCAGTCTGACTTGATACCTAACCACAAATTTTAATTTAGTAACGAATTTATTTTATTTTAATTTTTTATAGCAATTTGATGTTGGGTTTGATACCCAAAGTTACTATCACTATTTGTTAAAGGTACTGTTCTTTAGGTCCATTATGAAAAATAAAAAGAAAGTGGGCTCCTCTACAAAGCTTTGGAGAGACTTGGTAAATCCTAGGCAGGCCTTGAACAGTTGTACTCGTGACGGCCCAAAAAGAAATGATTCAAAAAACTCATTTAATAACTTTTTATCATGTTGAATTGTGAAGTGAGACAGAAAGCATCTATTCATTTTAAAAGATAGAGGAAAAACATCTCTGAAAGACTACGACTTTCTTGTGATAACGACTTTGTAAATTTACATTAAAATTTTGTTTATTTAATAGTTTTTACCAACTGAAAAAAATAAGATATTTATTTATTGTGTTTTTTCATTTCTTACATTATTTCTAAAACAGGTATTTTTGGCTTTCCATAATTTTTATTAACAAAATTATTTTGATAAAGTTGATATTCTTAAAGCATCTTCAATCCAATATCCTTTTTACATTCTAAACATCTTAAATGAGTTCATGAATACACAATACTCATTTTTACTTTTTACAACTCAGTAACTCTTCTCTTCAACCTAATAACTAAAAATATTTCTAAATAGATCTGACAAATGATTTCACATTCTTATATTCCAAGTTGAAGCTTTAACAATATTCAAGTAAAAAAAAAAAAGATGAGAACATTTGAGAAAAATAAGAGAAATTTAATAGATTTGACTGTAAAAGGTTTGTTGTTTTCCGCATTTATATTAATGTTGGTCTACATTTATATCACAAAAAGGGAAAAAAAGAAAAATAATTCAGCATACATGTAAGTGATGATGTAAAGATTTTTTATTATTTTTATTTATATTTTTTTTATGTGCAAAAGACAATTGTTGAGCCTATATATATATATATAAAAGCATCAATGTTTAAATAAGGTTTTATGCTTTGTAAGCATACATCTCTAATGAAGAATTCATATCAAGTATCTATGCTTAATAAACAAAATCGGTTGAAGCATCTCCATTAAAGTGACCCTAGTTGCTAATAATAAAACAACAGTCCGTTAGTTAATCCACCATTCTATATTTTGTGGGAAAACATTTTTAGGAGTTTCTTTTTTAAGAGTGATTTTAAACATTTTTTTAATAAGAGAAATTTTAATGATTTTTTTTTTAAAATTATTTAATTTAATTTAATTTATTTATCATAATTATTTATAAATTAAATTTTAATATCTTAAATAAAATTATCAATAATTAAAAATAATCTCATGTCATAATATAAATTATTTATTATAAATTGAAAAAATAATTTATACGTTTAGTATACAAATTTGATATATAACTTTTATTTTCAAATATGATATTTATTTATATATATAATTTATTATAAACTTCAGTTATTATATATAAAAAATATTTAGTTTATACATTTTTACATATTAAAATACTAGTTTCCATAGAAAAAAATTAAGGCATTGAAACTTATATGTACACTAAGTTTGTATTAACATGTTAAAAAGTGCACTAACATTCATGGATTTAAATGAAACTAAGCTTGAATTCTCTAAGATTTTAAGTGTGAATTTTTTAAATGAAAATAAAAACATGATGGAAAGAGAAAGAAGATCTTACTAAAGCTAATCTATGTAGTTTTTTTTAGTAAAAATTAATTATTGAATCTTTTGCAATAATAAGAAACACAAAAATTAAAAATCAGCTAAAGATAATGTTCTCCTTTTAGCATTTGTTTTGTAAAGACAAATATATACGGGAAGATATTGTTACTGAGAATCATATGAGCTTAATCTCTACATATCTTGTGGCTAGTTCTCTTTTAGTACCCAATAATAAATTATCATCACCTCATAATGCTCTATTTTATGTTTTGCTTTTGAATATTCTTACTAGCACACGCCTATATTGCATCTTATTGTAATGGATGCCAGAAACCCTTACATATTTAAAAATAGGATCAATGAATTAAATCATTGAGGGAAGATGTCAAAAATTTGATATTCCGTGTAGGTCAAACCAGCATTTGCAAGTATATATAATTATAAAAAAAAGAATTTTATTAAAAATGATTCATATTTTTATTTAATACAAAATATATTTTCTATTCACAATTAAATATATACAAATATAAAATAATACATGGAATAGGCGTTGATTATTTTGGTAAAAAATAAATTTTATTAACTTTATTTGATAAGTTGAAATTTGAGAATTGAAGTTTTTTTTTTTTTTTTGGAAAAGGGATAAAATGAAATTGAAACATCATTGTTAAATGTATTGATAAACATTTTTTCCCCATTTTATGTTAAAGTTGTCAGAAATTTTTTTGGACCTCCTTGGACCTCTTAGGGTTGGTCAGGTAAAAAGAAAAGTCAGCAAAAATGAATTTGTTGTGCATGTGAGAGAATGGAAAGAACGAGGTTAGTACAAATGGAAAAGAGATAAAAAAAGAAAAAAAGGGTTTAATATTCATTATTATTGGTGTAAAATTTTTATACTGTCAATTAATAATAAAATATTATTAATATGACTTTCAAAGTATTTATGTTATCAAATTTACCACATTTTATAATTTATTATTACATGATGGTATAAAATTGCTTACACTATTTGTGGTTAACCTTTTTTTTATATTAAAAAATCTTTGAAATTTTAATAAGTTATCTTTGAATTTTTTGTTTCATCTAAAAATTTATTATTTAATTATTTTCTGATGGAATCATGCCTAGGAAGGCAAGTTGTGACATATTAAAGGAGCCAAGAGGAATGGGCTAGACAGGAAGGTTTGGACTAGTCAAGGTCCAATGGGCCTGATGGGCTTTGAAAGCCCAATATGAGTTTCACATGGGCAATATTGATGTATTCATTGTTTTTATATTAG